TAGTAGGCCAAACAGAACGTCATCATTGTAAAAAAAAATGTCAACTTTTGGAAAGCAATGAAAAGCTAGTTCTAGTCTTTTGTGCCAAATATTGTTAATGCCTTAACAATAGCCGAAGAAAGAAAAAGATCTCAAATGCACTTATAAATAAAAAGAACCATGCTCAAGAATCGAACAGCTCTGAGGCAAAAAGAAAACGGTGGTCTGGCTCAAGGGTCAATTTCATCTTGAGTTATTAATTGATTTGCCAAAAACAAATAATTTAATTTTCTTGTATGTGCCTAAAATTATTTATGCAGATTTCTTTAGTATGGAAAATTTGCCTAAAGAAGGCAAAAGTTCCTACAAATCCAAGATTCTTTTGGAAGACCATCGAAGCATTATGAAGATTTGTTTGTAGTGGTTAGTTACTCAAGACCATGAAGATTATTGAAGATTTTTTTAGTGGTTAGTATCTTAGGATATATTGTAGGATAGAGAGAATATTCTTTTATAAGCACAAAGATTTTTTTTTCTCTCAAAATAATTTTTGGAAATTGCCTTAAAAAGGAAAGTCAAATCTTGCTCTTTTAACTTCACTTACCTAAATGAAAAAGATTTTGGCTTAATTATTTTTGGTAACAAATAATCAATTATTTGTAAAAGATTCGCATATCTTTTATTTTCGGAAATTACCTTAATAAGAAAAGTCAAAATCTTGCTTTCATAATTTTACTTACCTAAATGAAAAAGATTTTGTCTTAAATATTTTTGGAAACAAATAATTGAGTATTTACAAAAGATTTGTATATTTTTTTATTTTTGAAAAGTCTAAATACTCTTTAAAGCTAAAGATCAACGTTTTCTAAAAATATGATCATCACCTCTCTTATAAAAGACATTTTTCTTCCTTTGAAAAAGATGAAATTTTTGCAAGAGTAAGAGTCCATTGAATAAAAGTTTAAGATCTGTCAAAGCTCTCTCTTCAAACCCCCTTATTTCTTTTCATCTATTTGCTTTCAGAAATATTTTCCAAGAAAAAAGAAAATTTAATAATACATTTCCTGAAGAACAGTTCTGAACTTTAAATCTGTTTTCTCTTCTTCCTGTGCTTATAATTGTGTTTCTCTCTATCTATATAAATTTTGTAATCTGTTGTGGACTAGAGGTTTTCTAAATGAAAAACTTTTGTGTAATAGCTTAGGTAAATAGCTTTAGTGAAAACGCCAGGGTGTAATAGGAATATAACCAAGCACATATCTCACATTGTAGTAGAGAATACTATAATGGTCTATATAGATTTCATTTCATCTAACAAAACTCCTCTGCAGGCCTTGAACTAGAATCTTTGGAAATCTAGTGGGACAAAGGTTTAGATCTAGGTGTTGTATCTATTTCCTTGCTTACAAGTTGCTTGTCTCTTACCCTTTGAAAAAGAGATAACATTAGTGGACGGATCTCAGATGAAAGTCTTGGGAGTGGATGTACGGCGAGTTAGTGCGAACCACTTATAAATCTTTGTGTTTATCTTTCTTTTTTTCTGCTTAACTTATATTATATTCTATTTACACAATTGTTAATCTTTTTAGAAATGCAAAGTTGTTAAAGAATTTCTGTTTTTAAAC